ACCCGCATTGGCTGGGCCAAGCTCCGCGGGCCGCCCTGGGCTGGGCCTGGGGCTTCCCCCGGATGGCTGGCGCACTGCCCCGGATGACAGCGGAGGACTGCGCGTTCTGCAGGCCGCTCGGGAGCGCGAGGGCGAAAGTAGAGGAATGGATGTGTGTCCCCGTTATCAACCTACGCGCAGGACACGGGCGGGGCCAGCGCCGCGGGGCTGGCGCTGCAGCCCCGGCTGCCGGTCGGTGTGGGCGAGGGTCTCCACCGAGGAACACTCGGGCCCTCCGGCCAGGCCGGTCATTCTTCCAGAGGAGACAGGGGGATGATGACCAGTTGGCAAAGGAGGTGTCTCCCTCTGGTGTCACAGATGCGGGCGAGCACCCTCGCCTTGGGACTCCACGGAGCCCGTCGGTGGTAATCGGAGGACGGTCTGATGAGTGCCCCAATGTCAGGGTGGGGTGGGAACAGCTTAACGCGACCGGAGCGGGACTGCGAGGTAGCCCCCAGGCGACGGCCCTGCTCTGTGTGTAGTCACGTGTCTACATACACACAGGATGCAAAGCACCTAAAGTACAAAGTTCAAGCTAAGTGAGGTAAATGCAGAGACCCCTCTGGCCCCAGGAGCCCCTCTGAGCAGAGTAGAGACGTCCAGGCTGCGGCCAGGGTGGAGACCACACAGTTACCCAGTGCCACTGTTGGGAGTGTGGAGAGAGGCTTAGGAAGCTAACTACTTCTTGGGCCTGAGAATACAGTAGCTATTTAAATCATTCGAGGTGCTGAGGACTCAGCCCTGAGTAACCGGGACAAAAGTCCCAGCTTTCTGGGACTCAGTGGGGGAGGCAGAAACTAGATGCATGAACATCTGATAGTGTTCTCCAGTGAGACGCGGGTACAAGGGCTGTGCACACTTCCACAGAATGATGTCGGGAGAGGTGCTGCCATGTGCGCAAAACAGTCTGGAAATTCCTGCAGACTATGGCCAGAGCTCAGGCTGGCCGGCTCCTGACCCCTGAGCAGTCTCTGTAGCTGGTCCTATAGGCAACACACAGGTCGAGGCGTCCGTGGCATGACGGCCCACCGCTCTGAATGGCAGGAGAGGGAGGCTTGTGTGCTGCATCGTTTGTTGCCTGCCGGGCGGTGGCGCTGGGGTCCCTCCCGTTCCCCCACACCCGGACTCCCGGATCTCCCATCCCTTCCCCATCTCCTCAAGGCCTTCCCACCCCTGCTCTCCTCCCTCCACACCTCCCACCCGCGCTCCTCCCCAGCGGGCCGCGAGAGCTCGCCGGCGACTCCGGGATGTCCCGCCAGCTTCGAGGCCCAGCAGGGAAAGCGCGCACGGCGGCCGAAGAGCAGCCAGAGGTCCCAGCGCGGCGCGTGCTGGTCCCGCAAGGCGCACCTTGCACCCGCAGGCGCCCACCGACCGCTGCCTGTCCCCAGGAAGGGGCAAAAGCATAGAAATCCAGGAGGAAACGCCAGAGTCTTGGCCGCTGTGGACGCGGGGACCCAGAGGCGCTCAGGGTCAGCACCGCAGCCTCCTAGATAAAGCGCTGGGCCTAGGACCAGCACTCCAAAAAGGTGACGCCTTCGCCCCTGGCCTCCTTGCTCAGCATGACAGCCGGCAACTAAGGAGAACCGGCGCTGGCGAGTCCGTTGCGACTGCTGACGAGTGCAGCCACCCCGGGCCCAGTGTCACCTGTCTAGAGGAGGGGCAGCCTCCATGGGGGAACTATTTCCCCCACACTGTGCTGCCCGAAGCAGTCTCTGGCTCAGAGGGTCCCCCCTCCAAGACTCCCCTACACGCCTGGGTGTTGGAAGTCAATCGTTGGCGCCGCTTCCCTGAGCCCTCACAGTGGTGTAGCTCATGACACAGAGCCTCTTGTAGTGGAGGTTGTTGCTGACATTTCTTTGTGTGTGAAAGTATTGCACTCAGCCTTGAAAGGAAGTTTCATTGAATAGTAAATTTTGGTTCGAATTTTATTTACTTGCTTTTCATTTGTAGGTGATCTTTCATCTCACCCTGGCATTGGCAGAACCTGGGCAAGAATACAAAGGGGGAGGGGCCTGATGATACATATGTAAACATTTGAAAATTACAAATCGAAACAAAATTTTCCAGTTAAAATTTAAATTTTATTTTCATAAAAACTATAGTATTCAATATTAACTAGTTGCCAATATAAAGAACCAGTATTGTGCTTCACGCCTGTTACATTTAGACCTATAAACACATTCATCAGTGATATGAATTGTTTAACGTCCCACAATGTTCCTCCGTGGCCCTGTGCAGCTGCTGTGAATAAGGCACTACTTCATGAGGACTCTGGCCCCTGAGCTGGACCAGGAAGAAAAACAAAGGGAAGACGGCCACCCCTAGGAAACAATGCTCAGTAATGATGAAGTCAGCTACGTTATGGCTCTGAAAAGTCTTGATAATCTGTCTTCTCCTTTTCTAAGCACTTCTGCCTCTCAACTCCTTCCCGCACTGCAAAGCAGTGTTTATCTGAGTCCTTGCTGTTGCGACCCACAACAGTTTGGGCAGAGGACGAGTGTAAGAGAGGGGAGGTGTCTCCCTGATTCGTGAACCGACCCGAGAGCCGTCGCAGGGTCACAGGCTGTGCCCCGCCAGCACTGACCAAGCTCCAGAGACTAGCCGTTCGCCAAGTCTGCATTTGTGTCCCGCTCAGAGTTCGGGCCTCCAGGAATCCAGAAGTCACCCAAGAAGTGAGGGAATGTGTCTGACCCCCAGACGCCTGGAAAAATGGTGGGACAAGGGCCAAAGGCTAAAAGCGAGGCAAAGCTAACCCCCACCACTGGTCAAGGAAGGAGGCGACGCGGGATGGGTGGACAGCGAGGAGCGGCCAGAGGCCCCGGGCTCCTCTTGGGGGACTCTCAGGCCACGCCGGGCATCACGGGCCCGGGTGCTGCCTGGGTCGCAGAGGGTCCCCGTGGGCGGGTGGCCCC